GCACAATATATACTTGGGCAGCTTCTAACAAAAAAAAAGAAAATACAAAACAAACAATACAGAATCCACCTAACAACCACATAGTCATCTTCACAACGCACCATGAGCAGCACGTGTGCTAACGTGCCGAAGGAAATCTATTTCTTTTAATGATAGCGCAATTGGATGCACATGAAGTTCCGGACAGAGGAGCCATGAAGTTCCGGATATAACACATGAAGTTCCGGACAGAGGAGCCATCAGGTTCCTAGATTTAATGTTAACGTTGAGTCCTTCCCACGTGTGTTGGGCCTATGAGCCACGCGCCAACAAGCCAATCCTCCCTTTTGGTTCAGCACATTCGAAAGTGGTGAAGCGCGCTATTTATTGCTAAGACTTGCTACACAAACGCTTTGCGAAAGTCCTGCTGTCACACAATTCTGTCCAGCTTTAATAAGCAAACTAAACGCCTTACAGAAGCTGGTTTCCCGATGTACGTTTTGACCGCCGTTGCTGAGTGTCTACTCAGAGAAATCAGAACGAGCCCAGAAAATAATGCTCAGAACCGTACAAAGGATAAGGGACGTGAAAAGCGAAACTTCGTCGTTATTCCCTATATCCACGGCGTCACCCACAATCTCAAAAAAGTAGCCAGCAGGTGCGACGTAGACCTGGTTTTTTCTGCCCCAGAAAAACTGGCTAGGTTGTGCTGAGCCGTGAATCCTGGTTCGAGGGGCGAGCGAGGCTGCAAAGTCAAGCATCGAAAGAAGTACGTTCCATGCATTGAAGGAGTGGTGTACTCACTACCCCTGTCTTGCGGCAAGTGGTACATCGGCCAAACAGGCAGGTGTTTGAATGAGCGGCTGAAAGAGCACGCTCACAACGTCTCCTCTACAGTTTCGGGCCATCTCGGCATTCATTGCCGAGACTGCGGCTGTGTCCCTAATTTTCAGTTTTGTACCGTCATCAGGCGGCATCGGGACCAGTTGATACGTGAAATTTATGAGGCTTCAGAAATAGAAAGGTTGGGCAGTGCATGTGTCAGCAGGCCTTCGATTGCGCTATCATTAAAAGAAATAGATTTCCTTCGGCACGTTAGCACACGTGCTGCTCATGGTGCGTTGTGAAGATGACTATGTGGTTGTTAGGTGGATTCTGTATTGTTTGTTTTGTATTTTCTTTTTTTGTTAGAAGCTGCCCAAGTATATATTGTGCGGTTCTGGCAAATAAATCTTGTTGCAAGTTCAGTGCCGCTGTCTGTCTCCTTCTTTTTCTTGTCTCTCGTTTTTGGCGCTGTTTTTTATGTGAATCATGTCGTACCAACTCGCCCAAGCAACCACGTTAGCTAGTTTTATGTGTTGAGGAGCACTGTGAAGGTTACGTTCGAGGAACCTTGAGGTTTTGCTTGAAAATGATGTGATGTGAGTGACATGAGAGGACCAGTTGAGATCATGGCAACAGTAGAGGGAACTTTTTTTGCGCACTTTTGGTCTCAGGCGAAGCTTGAACTTTTGTGGCAGCCAGCTGCGTAATCTTTTCTTAATTCATTTGCTTGTGTACCAGAAAATGTCCACTAGTTTTTTTGAATGAAGAAAACGTTTTCTGACATATCAAGGTTCTAAAACTGGTTTGATACTTTTTGTTGTTGTTTTTGTTATTGTTCTTATTCGATGTTTTGACGATGAACATGCATTCTATCCCGCTTAATACTTCTACGCATAACCATAATTCCGCTGTATATTTGACGCCGAACCTGCGTTGTTTAAAAGCGATTATTGGAGTGCAACGTCAATTTTTATGTTGCAGGGCTGTTCTAGACCTTTTCGTGGCAAAAGTTGAGAGGGGCGAGGTATACCCCCACTTTTGGGTGTGAAAAACTTCAGGATTTGGAATCCTTGAACTTAGCAGGTATGAAAATATAATATAATTATGCGCTACGCCCCAGCGGGAGGACTTGAACTATTTTCCGACTACCTAGCATTTTTAGACATGGCACTATATTTACGCTTAAAAGTGGTCTTTGCGTTTTCCCCCTATCGAAATGTGAACATCGCGTCCAATCCTCAAGCTCAAGATTAGTAGTACATTATTCTATGTGCTAAGCTACCGCAGAAGGTTGTCTGCATTTGTGCCATCTCCATTGCAGTCATCCTCTACAAAGTGTAGCGATGGTCATATACACTCTAAGACAAAATGGTTTTAAAATGGTGTGTGGTTCATCCTTTTGGGGACTAATGGGGCTGCCACAATCTTTATTCCTTTTAAGGACTAACGGCACCGGGTCTAACAGTCAGTCCTCGCAGACGAGCTGAAGGGACAAACATTTAGTCCTAACATTTACACCTCAGTGAGTAACTGTTAGTCACACAATTCACCCCAAAGGACTAACATTTAGTCCTCACATTTGCACCTCATAGGGCAACTGTTAATCCCCACGTTTACACCTTACCGGGCGACCGTTGGTCCTCACAGTTGCACCTTGCCGGACGAACGGTTGATCCACTCAAATACTCCAATCGGATGAACATTTTATCCCCAGTGCAAACATTGTTTTTTGTTTATTTTCCGCCAAGTCTAATACTGTTTTCACCTGCTTCTCTGTACAGTGAACAACAAATAGCGCAGAATATAACACGCGAAAAAGTAGTTAGCCACCTATGTGTAACTGCTTTCGCAGTCACTGCAACAACGAAAGACAAAGGTGAGACATGGAAATCTTTCATTTTTCTACATAAACATGATTTTTCTTCATTCTCTTAAGTGAAATAATGGTGAAGTCTACGAGTTCAGTCTCTTTGTCATCTCTTGTTCAGTCTTTGTGGAGCTCCTTGACGGAGGCGATAGATGACAGGCATTGCAGACGCCAGCGCACGCATCCTTCTGCCTGTTGTGTTTCCACGGCTGTACGTACAATAAGATAGTAAGAATAGATAGACACACGTGACAGAAGATGAAGATGCTCGCATATGACAAGTACGTGCAAGGTAATATAAAAACATGCGTGTAAAATATGAGACACAAATAACTTTACCTTGACATCTCGCACAGTCCTTCTGAAGCTGCTCTGACGAAAGAGATGAATGACGGACATCGCGGACGCCAGCGCACACAGCCTTCAGCACGGTGTGTGCCAACGGCTGCACAATAAGTACGCCGAATATTGAGTCACTCGTGACAAAAGAATAATACGAATGGATATGAGAATACGCGCAAGGTAAAATAGAAACATACGTGAGATATGACATGATAATAATTTCACCATGATGTCACACATCGCCCCACTCAGTTCGATCACCCTAGCGCAACAGCTTAGGAGCGGTTGCCGCAGCCACAACTCCGCGAACTACCGATCTGCCAACAAGTGGGTGAGTCCTAAGCGAGCGACGTCGTTCAGCTCGAGCAAGTGAACGCGAGACCAAACACGGCACTGCACGCGGAGTGTCTGCCGCCAGCGAACTTCGAACAGGAGAGCGAGCGTACGCTTGGTCGCCGCCACGAACATTACAGAAGAACTCGATGGTAATGCTGCCCTTTCCCACAAACTCTAGTGACTGCAGCACGTAAACACGAGTCCGCCGCCGCGGCTAACAGACGGCGCCGAGCTGCTTGTGAGCGACTGACGGGAAAGCCAAATGTAATGGCGACCAATTTTCACTGAGTTCCGACGCTAGCGAGAGCCCCACCAGCCCGTGCTGGTGCACTTACAGTGCGCGACATACTACAACCAAGCTCGTTACGAGAACCCGGAACGTGTTTTCGACGACTCCCAACACAGCGACGAGGTCTCAGCAAAATAACGTCAGCCCGGAGCTCATCGCGGTGGCGAAGACAGGTGAGCACTCGATGAGTGAGCTTACGGGAGGTCGACGGCATTGGCGGCCAATTTCCAGGTGGTCACAAAGCACAGTCGAACTGCAGACGCCCAAGCTGACCTTCGTGGTGCATTTCGTGCGTGCGATATACAACACGACCGAGCCTTTTGACGGCAAGCGTGATCCGTATCGCACACGCGACAACTAGAGTAAAATAAAGAACGATAACCTACTTGCAAAAGAATCCAGCGCTAATTTCTGCCCTGAGTCGGACTCAAGTATATATCCGATAGGCCTGCTCTCTTCTCGGCCGCCATGTTGGCCTTCCCAGCTGTTGCTGTCGTGTGTTGGTCGTGACTATCTTGAAGCCATGGATATGCAGCATGGCGTGGTGACGTATCAAGACTTGCTCCAGACTTCATGGGTGCAGTGAAACGTAAAAGCAGCAGCCCACACTGAACGAAGTGTACGCACAAGCACCACGTCGTAATTCCTAGATCGTCGAATTCAAGCGGCCGTGGTCAAACACTCCGAGAGCGACGCAACGCGAACCGTCGCCAGCGAAATACGGGGAAAGACTAAGCCAGGAGAGAAGGAAGACGGCTAGTGACCTTGGCAACGTTTTTCGCGCTGCCTGCATTCCCCGGGTGGTTCATCCCTTTGGAGCCTGTTTGGAGACTGAGTGGCTTGCACGCGGCACGCTTCCCTCTGTGATTCCTTCCCAACGGTCTATCCGTTCATCGCGCGCGCCTATTAAGCTCCGTTACTCCTTTTTCGGGTAATTTTGCTTTAGAGTGTACTTTACGAGCAAATAGTAGTTGCCGCTCCAGCCAGAGGCCCCATTGTTACGTTGAAGCATTGTTTTATTAAACGGAGTGTTGCGTATCTTTGACAAAGAGTTTATGCGCAGCGACCCTCAGAAACAATATGATGTCACCATGCTAAAACGGAGAGTTTGCTGAGCAAATAACAAAGCTGGCCCAAACAATTTATTTCATGACTGAAGTTTAGGACTTTTGCAGTTTTGGTCTAAATCTTTACACAATATTTAAAATTACAGGGAGGAATATTGTTCCTCGGGCTTTTCTTCAGTTAATTGTTTGTTGGTCTCATTGCGTGTGTCTTACAAAAAAATGAATGCCTCAAACCATCCGCTTTCTTTTGTTTGTGCATGCATCTGTGACATGTGAGTGCTTTCTGTGTGTACAGGATGTCCTCACTGGGGGTGGTGGTGAGGAAGGAGGGTTCGACGAGAAGCGCGAGTGGGTGATGCGAAGCATGGCCCATCTGTGGCTGGAGCATGAGGTGCGGGACCTGGAGGTGCAACTGGTCCAGGCAAGCAAGCACGCCGCACTACCACCCTATCTGGTGCCACACACTCAGGTGCTCTGCACACGCTTGGTTCTCCTGCGGCGCCTTGTGGCCTCCCGACGCTTTGTGGTGGTCGTGCCTTCGCAGGGTCAGATTCATTTTTTACTCTTTTATGTGTATGTGTGTGTGCGTGTGTATATTCATGCATGCATGCACGTGTTTATACTTCATAGGTTTGTATCTGCAAATGGTGTAACTGATGGTGGTTATGTCACAACGACACGTCAAACATACTATTAGACTTAAAGGAGCACTGACATCAAATTTACTCATAACAAGATTTTTGCGTCAACGAGTATATAGCTATCGACCCCCTAGAGTTATTCGTGACCTGAAACGCTTCTGAGTGACGAATGAGTATCTGTAATATTAATTATATATTCGCTATTGATTGCGGTTCCAAATGGCCTGAAAAGCCCGCCAAGTCGTAGTGCTGGCAGCATTACCTCGCGTACAGTGTACTAGAAGGGGGCAGTGAGCTCACTGGCACGGCCACTGGATGAAAGAGCGCACGGGTACGGCCCGCCGCGTGCTCCAAAACTGGCGTGACAGGTCTAGTTCCCGAACCACCGCTGAGGCGCCACCGGAGGGGGGGGGGTGGCTTTTGTGAGCGCCCATAGAATTGAATGCGCGGCACGTTTGTGGTAGTTAGGATTGAGCATGTGTATCATTGTGTGACCCGCAAAATCTTCCTTTATTGTCCGTCTGGCGTGTGCGCACCAGGTAATTACCGACGTTGCTGTTGGATACCTGCAGCCCTTGCAAATTTTTGTTAGTATCTTACCCGAGATGGAACATTGCACAATCATCAGTTTTCGCAGAAGTAATAATTGTGAGCACGTTTTACTCAGATCCTACAAGATTACAACTAACAGATCTGGAAGAGCTACACCTTTCTATTGCATCTAAATTGATTTTAGTAACTGTGAGTATGTCGCTTCAGAAAACGTTGCTTTAGTTCAGATTTATTCATTTCATTTAGAATAAGTAACCTGAGCGATTGCAGTTGCCACTGTTCTTTTAACCCAAAATAAGATAAACTCTTTACTTCCTCCAAACACGTCTGTAGTATTCATACATTGCAGTATCAGATGCGACAGCCACGAAATATACTTAGCATGAGTGCGATCTCTTAACAGTGGACTCGAGCCTCTTTGAAACTTCAGTGACAATAACTTAAGTGCTGACAATTGAGCGAGTAGTTATGAACTGAATATTACTAAAACTGTGACACGAAAAGAGCGATGAACTGCTGCAAAATGCGAATATAATTTCTTGCGTTCCTGCTCTTTTAAATTTTTTCGTCCGAGTCCTTCCGACAGGACGCTCTTATGATAATGCAACTAATTCAACAGAGAACACATAATCGGAATAAGGTGCGTGAAAATATTTTATTTATTCCTCAATTTAGGTCTGATCCCGGCATTTTCAACATTTTTTACTTCTTTATATCTTTGCATAAGAAAACCACTTTACAACTGCTCCAGCTTGGGCGCCCAACTTTTGGCTTCCATGTCTATCTATAATAAAACCATCCGTTCAGTGTTTTCACATTAGCCTCTCCACGAGCACTGGTGAATCTCGATAGCACTTCGACGCACTTCTCTTCTAGCAGTCTCCATCATGCGGTTCCGTCATCCATTACTGTTTATTTGTTCTACTATGTAAGGTCAGCAAATTGGCACGTACTCACTAAAACTAAGGCACGTCACGTGTACTCGACTGCCCTACAGCAGCCGTAGTATTGAGATGTGTAAACAAAAAGAAAGCGTGGTCGTACGTATATAAATATATATATATATATTGTGAGGAAGAAGGTGAACACATGAGAAAGCACATTGTCATCGCCGGGCTCACTCGGCTGTTCGTTCCCTGGCTACGCTTTGCCTGGTGCTGCTGTCTTACCGGTCGCTTTGAACCTCAATAAACCGCCGTAACAAGTGGTGGAGGTGCTAGGTCGTGCCAACCTGGAACTTTGCAGCCGGAAACTCAAGCCGTCTCTGCAATGCCGGATGAAGCACCAAATCAACCGCAGCAACAACCTCTGTCCTGGTGCCCACATTGGTCTGCCCTGGCCCATCGCTTCAACGCGACCCACCAATCTTCAGCGGTACAGAAGAGGAGGATGTTGAAGACTAACTCGCCGAATACGAACGGGTAAGCGGGATCAACCGCTGGGATGACGCTGCAAAGCTCAACTACGTGTCATTTTATTTGAGCGGCGTCTCCTGCGTGTGGCATCGAAACCACCAACGCGACTTCCCGACGTGGGCTGCTTTCAAAACGCACGTGGCGGAAGTATTCGGAAGCCACGCTGGCCGAGCAACGGTTGCATGGCCGCGCGCGGCAGAGTGGTGAAACATTCACCAGCTACACTGAAGACGTTGTCGACCTGTGTAAACGCATTGATGACGCAGTGGCCGATGCCGATAAAATCAGGCATATTTTGAAATAGATTGAAGACGACGCCTTTCAGATGCTGCTGGCAAAGAAAGAACCCGTCCACAGTGTCTTGCAAGTCTTCGCCAAAGTTTTCATGAGCTGTGCAAACAACGCATAGCCACGCGCCGCTGTCATCCACAGGTGAATTTAATGTCGGGATTGGCTGTTGCTCCTGACAACTCATCGCTGCTGCTACAGATTAAGGATTTCTTTTGTGAAGAGGTCGCTCACCAGTTTTCGCTGATGCCGCTTGTTCACGACCAGTCGAATGCCCCGCCCCGTTGGCGCCTCCTCTCCAAAACATCAGGGACCAGGTCGCCGAAGAGGTCTCGCCTTCGCTCCATCAGGCTCCGACTGCTGCTCCCCTGATGTACGCCGCAGTCGCTTCCAGGCCAGTGATGCAAGGTTACAGCCCTCGTAGTCTGCCTATTTGCCCGCCAGTATCGCCGCCCGCCCACCCAGTCGTACAGTACGCACAAGCCGATGACCCTTGGCACACGCCAGACAACCGTTCCATTTGTTTTCTTTGTGGCCTAGTTGGACATGTGGCCCGTTACTGTCACTTTCGTGCACCATCTCACTCTAACAGTGTGCGTCCACCATGGGCCACGAATGCGCCACGTTAACCCCGCCACAGTTATTCAGACGACTACGAATCCGATCCTACCGCCTGGACCCCACCCCCCTCTCGCTGATCGCCTTCTCCTCGCTGTCGCTCCCTCTCCCCCATGCACTGACAGCGAAGCCTTGTGCGCCAGGAAAACTAAGTGGCGCAGTTCAGGAGGTGAGAACTGCGGTTCTGGCGAAATGCACAAGGCCTCCAATTTCGCCCCGAAACATTATTGAAGTTGCTATAGAAGGAACATGGACGCAAGCCCTTGTTGACACAGGCGCTGCCCTTTCAGCGATTGATGCCCGCATTTGCCGCCATATCGCAAAAGTCACGACGCCTGTTTCTGGACTATCCTTTCGTTCAGCCAACGCGCAGCACGTCAAGCCATCCGGTGCCTGCACACCCCGTGTCGTCATCCAGGATGTTCTTTATGTGGTCGAATTCATTGTGCTGCCATCTTGTTCTCACGGCGTCATATTGGGGTGGTATTTCCTCTCTACACATCGTGCGATCATCAATAGCGCCCGCGCTGAACTCGAGTTGTTCCCATTTTTGACAGATGTCATCGATGACAAGGACACATGTCGCAAAATCACAGTTTGTGATGACACCATTGTACCTGCCCAGTCTACTGTTCTTGTCTCCATCTCTTGCGACTCTGAAGACGGCGGCTCAGTGCTTTTCGCACCGTCTGCACTTCTAGTTCACCGCCGATCACTGCCATCGCCATTTACTTTCTCAAGTTCCATTCAGGCGCCTCTGTGACGTACATCACCAATCCATCGCCCGAGCCAATCGCTTTGCGACGTCGGAAAACCCTCGGCAAAACCGAGCCGCTGGTGTCATCTTTAATGTTCGAGACCATGGACGACCCCACTGATATGACCACCCTCGAGACATCAACTCCTCGGCCGCTACCGCGATCTTTCACACCAGCTATAGCCAGTGACCTTACGATGACACAACGAGACCAACTTCTTCGCTTGCTCGACGATTTCTCTTCGTCTTTTGACTGTCAAGCAAGAGCACTAGGCTGCACAACGACTGTTTCGCATACTATCGACACCGGAAGCCACGCGCCCATTCATCAGGGTCCTTACCAAGTATCGGCGAGTGAGAGGCCCCTTATCGATTACCAGGTGAATGACATGCTTAAACGCGGTGTCATTCACCTTCTTTTTTTTGTCAATAACGTCCTTTAGTCATCTCTATGACAAAGTTGTAAAAGCGTTCATAAGCTTAAAAGATGGTGCGACGCGAACAATACACATTAAACAACGTAAATTGCATAATAAATGGATGTCAACACCTTTACTCACTGCAATAAAAGAAAAAGACTTGCTTTAGACACAATGTAAGCGTTATCCTAACTGTTCAGACTTGCGAGCCAAATTTAAGCAAAGCAGAAAGAGCAGCAAATGATTCGCTCGGCTAAACGAACCCATTTCCGAACAAAATTTAAGGATGCCAGTAACAGCAGCAAAAAAAAACCTGGGCGTTAATTAAACCTTTAGATGCGCAAACACTCGCGTGGATATTTTGAATAACTTTTTCTCGAGTCAAGCCAATAACGCACAGGAGATTGCTGATGAATATAACAACTTTTTCTCTCGAACAAATAAAAACACAAATTTCTAGGTGGGCCCCTGCACTTTACGTCAGTGTTAGCGAATCGCCTTATCTACCTTCAATCTCACAAGAGGGCTTACAATCTATCATTTTCAGTTTGAAGTGTAAAAAACCTTCTGGTATTGATCGTGTTTCTATAACTGACTTGCACCGTACATTTGAATACACCCATGAAGTTCTACTAGCACTACTAAATTGCATTATTTCTACTGGAGAAAGCCCCATAAACTTGAAAACATCAATAGTTATACCTCTGCGCAATAGCGGTGCGCGTGATAAAATTGAAAATTATCGTCCGATATCAATTCTGCCTTCTATAGCACAAATACTACAAAAACATATGTTGTTAACGATGACAAGCTTTTTCGATAGTCACAACATTTTATTGCCTTGCCAGTATGCCT